AATTAGTGTTAACTATAGCTAACAAGATATTAAAAATTGATGCTTCTTCTTTAAATGCTATTTTTTAAAAGCCTTATAAAAAGAAATTAGTGTTAACTATAGCTAACAAGATATTAAAAATTGATGCTTCTTCTTTAAATGCTATTTTTTAAAAGCCTTATAAAAAGAAATTAGTGTTAACTATAGCTAACAAGATATTAAAAATTGATGTTTCTTTATTAAATGCTATTTTTTAAAAGCCTTATAAAAAGAAATTAGTGTTAACTATAGCTAACAAGATATTAAAAATTGATGTTTCTTCTTTAAATACTATTTTTTAAAAGCCTTATAAAAAGAAATTAGTGTTAACTATAGCTAACAAGATATTAAAAATTGATGTTTCGTCTTTAAATGCTATTTTTTAAGACTAACGGGGAACTTTATTTATTTTTGCTTTTTATCTTCCCGAATATTTTACTTTTACTATTTCTCAGTTACAGGACTTTAAACATTCTCAAAATATTACAACCACTGATTTACTCTACTACAATTTAATGATGATTTACATCAGAAATATTGACAAATCACTAAATAATTATTTTTAAAACAAACAAAAGAAACTAAACACAAAGATATGAAAAATTTCAATAGCAGACACAAAGTAAACACTGTAGTAAACAGATTAAATATAAGTCCAAAATGAAGTAAACACTGTGAATATGTGTAAATATAAGTTCAAAATGAAGAAAACTCTGTGTAAGCAGATGTAAATATCAGTTAAAACTGGAGTAAATACTGTGAACAGATGTAAATATCAGTTAAAACTGGAGTAAACACTGTGAAAATATTAAATGTAAGTTAAAAATGAAGTAAGCACTGTGTAAACAGATTAAATATAAGTTCAAAATGAAGTAAACACTGTGTAAGCAGATGTAAATATAAGTCTAAAATGAAGTAAACACTGTAGTAAACAGATTAAATATAAGTCCAAAATGAAGTAAACACTGTAGTAAACAGATTAAATATAAGTCCAAAATGAAGTAAACACTGTGAACAGATGTAAATATAAGTTCAAAATGAAGTAAACACTGTGTAAGCAGGTGTAAATATAAGTTAAAACTGGAGTAAACACTGTGAACAGATGTAAATATCAGTTAAAACTGGAGTAAACACTGTGAAAATATTAAATATAAGTTAAAAATGATGTAAGCACTGTGTAAACAGATTAAATATAAGTTCAAAATGAAGTAAACACTGTGTAAGCAGATGTAAATATAAGTCTAAAATGAAGTAAACACTGTGAACAGATATAAATATAAGTTAAAAAATGAAGTAAACACTGTGAATATGTGTAAATATAAGTTAAAAATGAAGTAAACACTGTGAACAGATGTAAATATAAGTTAAAAATGGAGTAAACACTGTGAACAGATGTAAATATAAGTTAAAAATGAAGTAATCACTGTGAATATGTGTAAATATCAGTCCAAAATGAAGTAAACACTGTGAATGTGTAAATATCAGTCCAAAATGAAGTAAACACTGTGAATATGTGTAAATATCAGTCCAAAATGAAGTAAGCACTGTGAACAGATGTAAATATAAGTTAAAAATGAAGTAAACACTGTGAACAGATGTAAATATATGTTAAAAATGAAGTAAACACTGTGAACAGATGTAAATACAAGTTAAAAATGAAGTAAACACTGTGAACAGATGTAAATATATGTTAAAAATGAAGTAAGCACTGTGAACAGATGTAAATATAAGTTAAAAATGAAGTAAGCACTGTGAACAGATGTAAATATATGTTAAAAATGAAGTAAGCACTGTGAACAGATGTAAATATATGTTAAAAATGAAGTAAGCACTGTGAACAGATGTAAATATATGTTA